ATCGGGAAATCAGAAGGCGACTATCGAAATTAAACAGTAAGTATTTGGAGTCAGGAAGTGACACATCCGATGATTTCGAGAAATCTTCTGGTGCAAGCATGGGGGACAGTGCCAGTACTGCCTCTGATACTGAAAGTGATTTGGAGTCTCCATCAGATGGTGCTGGCAGTGAGTCGAGAGGAGAATCCTACTTCATACATGATGATGGATTTGATTCCTTTTCTGATGATCGTGAATGGGGTGCTCGAATGACAAAAGCAAGCCTTGTTCCACCTGTCACTAGAAAGTATGAAGTTATTGATCACTATGTTATAGTCACAGATGAAGAAGAAGTGCGAAGAAAAATGCTAGTTTCATTACCTGAGGATTATGATGAGAAGCTCAATGCCCAAAGAAATGGAACTGAGGAATCTGATATGGAAATTCCGGAGGTGAAGGATTATAAACCCAGGAAGTCCCTGGGAGATGAGGTGATTGAACAAGAGGTTTATGGCATAGATCCTTATACTCACAATCTTCTTCTCGATTCAATGCCAGAGGAATCGGGGTGGTCACTTCTTGAGAAACATATATTCATTGAGGAAGTTATGCTTCGTACTCTGAATAAGAAAGTCAGACATTTTACTGGTTCTGGAAACACACCAATGATGTATCCATTGAAGCCTGTATTTGAAGAGATATTTAATAGTGCAAAGGAAAATAATGATCAAAGAACCATGGGGCTATGCCAGTCTATAATAAGAGCCATTGATAGTCGTCCTGTGGACAATTATGTTGCTTATAGAAAGGTAATTATTTTATCTTATAGATGTGTTTTTACATATCTAGTTTCTTATGCTGTTGAGTACTGCACACTAGCGAGTTTGTCCTTTTTGTAATGTTGTTCGTTACTTTTACTGTCATACACACCATATGCATGAATTAATTTGTTAGTTTATGCCCTGTGATGTGCTTCTTCTAATCAGGGGCTCGGAGTTGTTTGCAACAAGGAAGGAGGTTTCGGTGAAGATGATTTTGTTGTTGAATTTCTGGGAGAGGTAATGCCTCGTTATTTTTATGTTTATGATCAGCTCTGGATATTAGTATCACCCTTTAGGTTTATTATTGATATAATATTTTTATGAAATTAAACTGCATTTGTTTGGGGTTCTCAAAATTGAATTTATTTTTAGTTGTGATTAAGATTTATAACCACCAACGATGGTCATGGAATAACTAATAAATGAGAGTATCTTTTTCCAATTTTCCATTTCCAGCACACAATAAGGTGTTAGTCTGCAAGACATATGGACTAATTTATCAAATTAAAGGACTCTGCTTCCTGTGATGTGATGGGAGGTTGTTCTATAATGCATGTCCTCATGTCCTGCACACCTATTTGTTTGTTTTTCTTTTCTTTCTTTCTTTTTTTTTTCTCTGAATTTTCTTCCAGGGGTTGGGCTGTATATGCAAACTCATCATGGTTGTCTGAGGGTCTGAGGGCTTTTGATGAATGTTTGTATGAGAGATTCTCTGTGAATTCCGTGCATTTAATAATTCTTAGCTACTTATTCACCATGACTATGAATTAGTAGCTGTTGTTGATGCTGCCAATGATTTTAAATGAACTTTTTACTTGCTATGAAATACCAGGTTTGTAGACCTTATTGCAATTATCTGCTGCAACATGTGATGCTCTACTAGCTATACAATAAAAGTATTGTTGAACTTTTACCCTTTTATCATAGGTGTATCCTACTTGGAAATGGTTTGAGAAGCAAGATGGCATCAGGGCTTTGCAAAAGAACAATAATGATCCAGTTCCAGAGTTCTACAATATTTATCTTGAAAGGCCCAAGGTATCTTATGTTTGTGCATGTAATTCGGTCGCTTAGAAATAAAATGTCAGTACTATAAAATGTCAGTACTAAAGCTTGATTTTGATTGTCCAAATTGAAACTCAATTCAAAGATCCCATGGGAATGATCGTTGATTGATTCTTTTGATTATTAGATGTTACATGAGACTTGAGAGAGATTGATATGATTTAGCCTTTTGATTATTTAGTGAATAAAACAACATGTACCTGTTTAGTGCTGTTAATTTTGACTCCTGGGCGTCATGCCCACATACGAGTACAAAGTAATTACATTCTCTTCTGTTTGTGTTCTCCCACACTTGCTAATTATTTATGATTGAAAATGGTTCTTTTGGCACCTTTGTATTGCTAGCAAGAGCATTAGAACCTTTGAAGATAATAGATAACAGATATCTTAGATGAAGAAAGACCAATGCTCAATGATATTAAACAATAAGGTCTCTCACAGTCTCTTTGGAATCAAAATGCTGAATGTATTAAATAAAATGTTTGACTTTAGTTGATTGCTATTATGGTTCATGTTTTATAGTTGATAGAGAGGCAGATAAGCTTTGCTGGGTCCTGAAAAACTGGCAGTATATTAATTTATGAACTAATCTCCTAAAGTTCAGCATATCAATGAATTAATTATTCCCAAGTAGACCTTAAGCAAGTGACAATTACCAGTTAAGCTGCAGAGATGATCAGTACTCAAATCATGTTTGTCTGAGGTTACTTTGAAACACCTTGTTGCCCAAATGGTCAAATTTGTCTTTCTTTGTCACCTTCATGCTACATGTGATGGGGCTTATATTATTGTTTTAATCCAGGGTGATGCTGATGGGTATGATCTAGTTGTTGTTGATGCAATGCACAAGGCAAACTATGCAAGTCGTATTTGCCACTCCTGTAGGCCTAACTGTGAAGCAAAGTAAGCATTGCATTGTTTAGCTTCTTTTTTTTAAGCTTCACCAAGTGAAAACATGCCTTCCTACAAAGTGCTCGAGTTTCTGATAAACTATTTTTTCTGAGTTTATTGCACATGCAACAAGAAAATTATTATTATTCTTTGTCATCATTAGTTACAGCACTATAGCTGACCTCATGGAATATAACATTTAATTGGCATTCGGTGGTGACATTCCTCTTGATTTCATATCTTGCATAATGTAAGAATGACCTTTATGATGTGTTTCCATCTCCATATAGCAACATTATCCATTTATTATTATGCATCAGGGTCACTGCTGTTGATGGACAATACCAGATTGGTATCTATGCTGTAAGGCCTATTGCATTTGGTGAAGAGATCACTTTTGACTACAATTCTGTTACGGAGGTTAGTAGCTTGGAAAGCCTGTGTGAAATTTATGATAATATTTGTTTATTTAGTAATATTATTGATTGGCTCCAGAGCAAGGAAGAGTACGAAGCTTCTGTTTGTTTGTGTGGGAATCAAGTTTGCCGTGGAAGTTTTCTAAATTTAACCGGTGAAGGGGCCTTCCAGAAGGTATAGGATTTGAACCACTTTCGTCAAGCTGTTTATTTGCCTTGGATGTTTGTTTTAAGTTTTGGAAGAATGCATCCTTGGATTTGGCTCCTTGACACTTCATTCTTTATATCAGGTGCTTAAAGAGCATCATGGATTACTTGATCGGCATCTTTTGCTGCTAGAGGCCTGTGAACTGAATTCAGTAACTGAAGAAGATTATATTGATCTGGGCAAAGCTGGACTTGGGAGTTGTTTGCTTGGAGGGCTGCCTGATTGGCTAATTGCCTATTCAGCTCGTTTGGTTTGTATTCTTCACTTTAGCTTTTTTTTTGAAACCTTAAGTTTATAGGCTCATTTTTAAGGTCTGGATTTCTATTTAGGTGAGGTTCATAAATTTTGAGAGGACGAAACTCCCCGATGAGATACTTAGGCATAATATAGAGGAAAAGAAGAAATACTTTGCTGAAATACACCTGGAGGTTGAAAAGAGTGATGCTGAAATTCAGGCTGAGGGTGTTTACAATCAGAGACTTCAGAATTTGGCTCTTACTATTGACAAGGTGGGTGGTTCTCTTTCCCTCACACTCTTTCCTATCCCTGTTGTCGGATTCTTGAAAAGACTGAATAAGATTGAATGTGAACCGTTGAAATTGGACAACTAAAGATAGACCCTGAAAATTTCTAATTTAGCAAATATTTATTCAGGTTAAATATGTATTGAGATGTGTTTTTGGCGACCCAAAAAATGCTCCACCACCACTTGAAAGGCTTAGCCCTAATGAAGCTGTTTCTTATCTGTGGAAAGGAGAGGGTTCATTGGTTGAGGAGCTTATCCAGTGTATGGCTCCTCATATGGAAGATGGTGTATTGAGGGACCTAAAAGCCAACATTTGCTTGCATGATCCTTCTGGCTCTGATGATACAGAGGCAAAGCTTCGGAAATCTTTACTATGGTAATAAGAATGAGCTGGCTTGTGCTCCCATCGTACAATAATCGGTTATAGAATCTAATCAGACGAAATATTTCAGGTTGAGAGATGAGGTGCGGAACCTGGCATGTACATATAAAAGTAGGCATGATGCTACTGCTGATTTGATACATTTGTATGCTTACACAAAATGTTTCTTCAGAATACGAGTGAGTATTCATTCTTACTGTGCTTAACTTAAAACCTACTTGGGTGGGTGGCTGTTTCAGTTGGTGGGCTAAGAAAGACCTTTATTTTATTTCATTTGCATTCTGTTGCAGGATTACAAGAGGATAACTTCTCCACCTGTTTACATTACTCCACTGGACCTTGGTCCAAAATATGCAGAGAAGTTGGGTTCAAGTGTTCATGAATATTGCAAGACCTACGGTGAGAGATATTGTCTGGGGCAGCTGATGTTTTGGCATAGCCAAAATGCTGAACCCGATTGTATGTTGGCCAAAGCAAGTAGGGGTTGCTTGTCCCTGCCCGATGTGGGTTCCTTCTATGCCAAAGTCCAGAAGCCATCACGCCAACGAGTTTATGGTCCAAGGACGGTGAAGTTTATGCTTTCCAGAATGGTGAGTACAATTTGCAAGCAGTAACCTTTGTTTGTCTCTAATCTACTCTCTTCCCATGATAATTGAATGCAAATCAAAACTGGTAAACTGAATTGTCCTTTACTTGGTTTGGTTGCTGGCAGGAGAAGCAACCCCAGCGAGCATGGCCAAAGGATCGGATATGGTCATTCAAGAACTGGCCAAAACTTGTTGGCTCACCCATGCTGGATGCGGTATTAAACAATGGCCCCATGAACAGGGAGATGATTCATTGGCTAAAGCACAGGCCTCCTATCTACCACGCAATGTGGGATAGATAGGTGAATTTTTGCAGGCAGGCATATTTAGGGAAAAGGTGGGCCTTCATAGGATGGATTGATTGATTATATATGATGATGATGATGATGTTATAGATGGTGGCTGTTGGGGTTGCAGCTCATTCAAGGAAAGGAGACGAGAGGAGAGGAGCCAGTAAAAATCTGTAATCTTTTGTTTGCTCTGTTATTCTTGTGTACAGTTAGTTACATTTGTTTGTCAGTCTTTTTGTCATTCTTTTTTAGATTATGTGTTTATCTCATCATCTATCTGTATTCATTCTTGGCTTATATATAGTGTGTAGTGGCCCCCTTTTCTCCCCTATATATATATATGTGGAAAAATGCCAGAATTAAGATAGATAGGTGAATTAAATCTTTGAACTACTCTCTCTCTCTCTCTCTCTCTCTCTCTCTCACGCGAGCGCACACACACACACACACACACTCAATATGACCAAAAAAAAAATGATCAATTGCAGGCGGGAGTGAGACTGTGATTGAGATTGAGAGCAAGTGTGACTACTTCCTCCTCTCCCGCAGCTCATGTTCTCTGGGTAATTGAATGTACAGGAATGAATGAATACCTTCGTGTCTGTATATTATTAATTCATTTTTAAATGTATGGTCACTGCCTTGAAAGCTGCTGCCTGCAATAGACATATGATATGATTATGTATGTATGTATGTATCATTATCAGCCACAGCCGCAGCAGCAGCAGCAAGTTGATGATAATTAGCTAGCTAGGTAGCAACATAGAAAGAAAAGGTATGATTTGAACGAGGGTATCCAGGAGGTCTCCATTTCCAAGGCTCATGTCCGTTTCCAATTCGGGGTTCCATGGGAATGGCTGGATGGGCTTTGTTGCTTCCAGCAATAGCTCATCCATTGGAATCTTAGACTTGGACCTCTGCAATGGCTCGTAATCTGTCACTTCCCGACAGTAATCCTGCAAGCAAGCAATCAATCCATCCATCCATCCATCAATCCTTGGGTTGGGGTTGCTACTATTAATTAACTAAACAAGAAGGAAGAATGAATAGCCCCACGCACCAGATCGGCGTGCATTTTCTTGACAAATAGCCTGAAGATTCTGTAATTATGGGGCTTGAGCAAGTCATGGGACAGCCGAAGGTACGTCACGCCATCCATCTGATGATGATGATGATAATGACTACTACTACTAGCAGTAATGCCATCCTTGCCATTGTCCTTGTCCAGCACCACCCCTATGGGCCTCACATTCAGCAGCATTTGGTTATAGGCTGCCCGACTGTAACTTGGGAGTGCGTTCTCACCTGCCACGCCGATCTTTTCTGTCCACGCCCCACTCAAAACCTGATTTGATATATACATATAACATGTATATGATACTAGGATTGATTCATTTGATTGCTTGAACAATTAATTATTGATACGTACATACCATATACAAATATATAATCAGAGGTGAGGTGAGGTAACCTGTTGCACAAGTTGCTCGGGTGCAGATTTAGCCTGGGCCGGCTGGTCGGTGTTTCTCATCTCGAGACAAGTGAAGTTTAGAGTAGCAAAATGTCGGGATAACATCCTGGCAATGGGGCGGTATCCGTCCCTACTCTTGTTCTTGCTGCTCAGGTTGTAGTATCCTGCTGTTAACTCGCCAGCATGGCTCTCATCATTGTACCACCAGTGGATCCCCGATACCTGTATGATGTATCTAAGTAAGTAACCAATCCAATTCATCAACCAATCAATCTGTACTTACAGCTTGCTCGCTTACATACATACTTTAGCAGATAACCTGACTCTGCATCCTGTGAATGCATTGTTGGCTAACTCAAGCACCTGGTCCCCATGCTCTATCAACTTGCTTGAATACCATTCCAGGAAGAACCTACCCTTTTCTGTCTGGTATGTCGCCCTGAAGAAGCCGGTTTTTTCAGGCGTGTCGTTGTACGTTCCTGCATCGTCCGGCAGCTCCCCCCATTCAGGATGCCCTGCAGCCACCGCCGTCATCTTCAAGTCTTCTCTCAAGTACTTGTCAAAGCACTAAACACATGTCCATAAAATCACTTTTCTTATACAATATTTCGACTTTATTCATGCCTCCCGTTACACAAAATTCATAGGAGGATAAAATAAAATAACACTAAATTTAAGTGAAAACTCGAACAAATAAAAGATTGAGAAAATATTTGTATATGACGAAGATGTTTTTACAATTAGGAAGAAAATATATCGTGCCATTGAAAGCTTCAACTCAGATTTTTAAATAAAACAGGTAAAATCTCTTAATTTAAATTGTTAATTCAAATTTAAATAATTTTGAATTTAGAAGGTTTTATATACATAACAAATTTAATTCTTAATTTAAAAATATAATTTTTAAACATATAATTTTCAAATAAAAATCAAAAGTCAAATTCTATATTTTCTCAAAAAATATGTAATTTTTCCGGACGGTCATGTTACCGTACAAGACCATGAAGAAAGAGAGTAACATTTTTTTATTTCGCAGAGTAGAGATTTGCAGTAAATTCTCCACAACTTAGTCATGGTCATGACAAATTCATTGTCCCATTCGCAATTCAACTAATGCCTTATTTCACTTTTTTTTTTTTTTTTTTTTGTTATTTCACACATCGTTTAATATTATATAGGTATCCTCGAGCGTGCATGCCATGCAACCCTTCCCGAAAATAGCTAAATACAATATTCCTTATTTTCCAATGAATCCAATAACAAAAAAATAACAATCCACCCCTATTTTGATATTATCCATGATTCATTCTCAAACTGTTCAACATACACAACAAGCTAATGCATAAATGAAAATATTGCGACCGTTGTTGATTTTGTCTTAGCACATTGCAAATCCCAAGCATTCAAGAATCAAATGTCTCATGGATTGAACCTATCAACTTCATATTGAATACATGGAGATAATGTATACAAATAAACTTTTGTTTTTCCAACAATTTACAATTCACACTTTACAAGCCACGTGTCTCAATTTATTCACGAACATATCAAAAGCTAACCCAAGAGCTTTTCTTGATGCGACAAAACTTGGTGTTCGCATAGCTAATTCCTTTAGTCTCGCTTCTGTATGGTCATTTTTTTTTTCAAATGAATTATTAAAAGATGAAATCTCAACTTAACTTTTTTGCAAGTCCGAATGCTTATCATGGGATGTAAATGCATGCGCCACAATCTACTACATGTAAGCTTTCCGCTTTCCGTATTAAATTTCAGCTCCTAACATTGTACTAGGAGTGAATTGGGTGTCTTACCTAAAATGGATTTAAAATGGACTTTAATCTTATCTTGATTGACGACTTGTGCACTAAGTATCTAATCAATCCCTTAGTTAAATTATCCGCTAAATTACGCTGCGACCGTTTATGGACTACGATAATTAATCCATTTGAAATAAGCTCTTGTATCATACTGTGACGTATGACTACATGTTGATATTTTCCGTTATGGTTCTCACTATAAGCTTTAGACATAATATAGCCTCACTATCACAGTGAACCAAAATTAGTGGTATTGGTTTTGGCCACAACAGAATCTCGTAAACTAAGTTATGAAATTCCTTACTAGCCACGGCTAATGTGATAAGTTCAGATTCCATCTTTGAATTAGTTATACATGTTTGTTTCTTGGATGTCCAACAAATGGCACATCCCCTTAAAACAAACACCAAACCTGTGGTTGATAAAGAATCTTCAGCATGGTTTATCAACTAGCATCTCAATATCCTTCAATGCCGAAGGAAATCCCGCGAATGATAAACCAAAGTTTGCAATCGATTTTAGGTACTCATATACCTTTTTAAGAGTGTAGCAATGGTGAGTACTAGGTTTACTAGTGAACCTACTCAACCTTTCGATTGCGTATTCAATATCTGGTCTAGTGCTTGTCATGACGTATATCAAGCATCAAATGGCATTTGCATATTCAAGTTGTGAGACAGGTTCTCCCAAATTAGGAACAAACTTCACACTTAGATCACATAAAGTACTAACCAATGAACAATTCTTCATATTATACTTTTTGAAAATGTTCTCAATATAGTGTGCTTATGTAATCCCAATCTTTTTGGATTCGTTTTTTATTTTAATTCCAAGAATTATATCCGCCTCTTCCATACCTTTCATAGAGAACTTGGAGGATAGAAACTTTTTAGTTTCCTTCGCTCGAGTTTGATATGTTCCAAATATTAACAGATCGACATAAAGGCAATTGATCACTCCAGTGCCAGTGTGATCAAATGTATTATACACATATTTGTTCACTTGATTCAAAATAAATACAACTTTATCAAACGTTTCATGTCATTGTTTGGGTGATTGTTTCAAAACATACAATGATTTAACAAGCTTAAAAACCAAATGATCATTTTCCGAAGTAACAGACCTTTCGGGTTGCTTCGTATAAACCTCCTCTCCTAAATCACCATTTAGGAACACTGTTTTAACATCCATTTGATGGATAACTATATTGTTTATCAATGTCAACGAAATTAACAATCTGATAGTAGTCATAAGAGCAATTAACCTAAACAGTCGATTCTTTGCTTTTGCCTAAAACCTTGGATAACTCATCAAAATAGAATTCTTTAAACTAAGAACAATGTTTGCAAACATAAGTAGTGGAAAAAACTGTGCTTTAGTAATAAAAGACAACAAACTTTTTATTGAAAGAATTTTCCTGGATTTTACTTTGTTCTTGGGAAATGGTTATTCGAGTCATTTCCTCCACCGCAGGTGCCTACACCACGGTTGTTTTTGCCAACCCGGAAATTGCACTTAAATTAGCCAAATTTCCCACAAATCCAATAAGCTGATTTAGGCTTCTTGTTGGAGCCTTTGACATTATTGTCAAATTTGTGTTTCTTGCCTTTGTTGGCCTTGGATGCTTTTCTTTCCTTCCTACACCATATTCATAGAGGAACTAGCCACAACCGGTTCTTTTCATTTTCTTGAGTCCTCAATGACTTCCCATAGTGGAGATGGCTGCCGAGTTCAACCAAAGAGAGTTCCTCTTTTTTGTATTTAAGCATATGCCTAAAATCCTTCCAAGATGGTGGAAGCTTGTCGATAATACTCGACACCGATATGGATTCATCCATAGTCAAACCATGTTGAGCAAATTGGCCAAGAATATGAACCGAATCATTATATTGCTTCTTCAAAAGTCTGACATCACCATTTTATAATTATTGAAGTATCTTACTAGAAATTTCTTAAATTATGCATCTTTCACCATATATTTTTCCTCGAAAATATCCCAAAAATCCTTC